GGGGTGGGCTAGGGTGGGCTGGGGCCCCTGCAGCTCCGACCCGCCCTCCTGGGATTCCATCTCAGCACTTGCTGAAGACCTGTGGGCTGGGTCAGGGTAGTGGACAGCCAGCCACCTGGGACGGCTCACGTCCCAAGGCTGACCACAAAGTCCTCGTTTCTGGAGGCCAGTCCTCTGAGCCAGTCAGTGCTGCTCATGAGCCTTCATCCCTCAGCCGGATGGAGGACGGTGGCAGGACCCAGATCCTCACCTGCACTGACTCTTGTCTGAAGGGAGAAGTTAGTTCCCGGTGCTGTTCTGGGCGGAACTGTAATGCTTGGAGAGCAGCCTGGGGCAATAAGCTGTCCAAGAGATAGAGATAGATAAAAGCTCCAGCACCTTTGGGGCATCTGGCTCCAGCCAAACCCGAATCCTGGGCTCGTCACTAGACGAGTTCCCCTTTGCTTCAGTTTTCCACGTCCAGCAATTGCCGGTGCCTTTACCAGGAGCCCCCAGTCAGCCAGCCTCCCACTCGGCAGCAGCTGGCAGTGGGCGAGCGCAGCTGTGAGCGGCTGGACTTTGGGTGTTTAGAAGTTCGGGGACCCACAGCAGGGAGATCGGGCTGGGGTGCACCCACCTGCCGTGACTTCCGGGCTGCCCAAGCAGGACTGCAGACGGATGCTGTCCCGCTTGTCCAGGAACTTAATCCAGTCTTTCACCCACTTGGTTTCTGGGTCCCCACACACCATCGACTTTTTGTTACGGAAGAAGAATCTGGCAGGCAGAGGGGGGGCTCGTGAGGGCCCTGGGAAGAGGCAGCAAGAAGCGCCAGCCGCCTGGCCCCGGCACCACTCACATCACGGCCGGCAGGTTGCAGCTGCCGCTCACGGCCTGCCTGTGGTACTCAAGGACGAATTTTTTCAGGCTCTCTTTAGCGTGGGGCTGATAGGCCAGACAGCAGTCCTCGAAGAAGTCTGCAACACAGCGCGGGCGCACGCCGCTGCAGTGAGCATGCGCGCCCGGCGGGGCAGCCGAGCGCACGCACCGGGCAGCTGAGCGCACGCCCGCACCAGCCGGCTGCGTGCAGGGACGGCCGGGTGCCACGGCACCTCTCCGGGTGGAGAGACCTCGGCTGGGACGTGCCCACCGCGCCAAATAAGTGGGGGACCAGGGTCACTCCAACAGCTGCTCTGGGCAGAGGGCCAAGGAGGGTGGGGTTCCCTCCCCGAGGGCCTGGGGGCCACCCAGCCTCGCCCCCTCCTAGAATGAGTGTGCTGCGGGGCTGCGCCTGGTGCCCCCGCCCCTGCCCCGGGCTGGCCCTTCGCCACATGGACCTTTCTCTCTGTCCCCACGAGCGTCACAGCTCTGAGGGCCACAAACTGGGATGTCTAAGGAAACAGGACCCACTCGGGAGCGCCTGGCCTGGGGAAGCAGGGGCGCTGATCTGTGCGTGGAGGGACCTGGAGTGGGAGGGGGGATGCCACCTGGAGGAGGAGGTGCAGGCAGGTAGGGCTGGGGGGTGAGCAGGTGGCGTGAGGGACGGTGCAGAGAGCTTGAGGCCCCTGGGGTCTGTCCGGATGCTGCTGCTTGCCTCCAAGTCTCAAGTCTGAGCCCTGGCAGGGGGTGGTGTGGGGAAGAGAAAGCCCCCCTTCCACTGCACCCCCCAGCTTTGGCCCCAGAGGGCAAGGGGCAGTGGAGCCAGACGGATGGACCCTATCAGGGCTGCCATTCCCCAGCTAGGGGGCCCTCCTTTCCCCAGGATCAAAGGGCCGGGGCAGGGCCTGGCTCCAGGATTGGGCCTCTGATAGCAGGACAGTGGGAACGAGGCCCAGGTACCGCCTCTGCTGGGCAAAGGCTAAGGTCTGCGGGGGGCAGGGCCAGGGCCTCTGAGACCTAGCCAGGGGCAGACGGGTGGGGCCCCAGCCTGGCCAGGGCCCTGCTTGGCTAGCTACCGGTGTTCAGCATCAGGAAGTAGCAGGGTTCCTGGGTGACACTGCCTGGCCAATTGGCCTTTGGTCACCCCAATCCTCAGGTGCTAGGTCTGGGGAGAAAAGGGAGGGGGCTTCCCCCATCAATGACACAGTGGTTAGCAGAGCTGCTGGGCCCAGGCCGAGTCCCGCAGGCATCAGCCCGCTGGCTCCTCCATCCCATGTCCGCAGGGGACTCAGAGTCCTGTTTGCAGACAGGGAAGCTGCAGCTTGCAAAGTTGCAGACACTTTCTCAGCTGGACCGTGCAGGCATCTTGGGTGGAGGAAGACTGGGGGGCCCGCTGCTGATCTCTGGGTTCCAGCTTCTAATGCCGCTCCTGGCTCTGTGGAGCTGGGTCACTACAGTGGCTCTGGCACTAAACAGCTGTGCCACTCCTGGGAGTCCCTCTGCTCCCCACAGTCCCTGGGCCGGCGGAGTCTGGCAGGGAGTCCTCGGGCCTTGGCTCGAAGGAGGGCTGGAGCGGAGCTGCTCCGGCCCTGGGGCAGCAACTCTCGGCCAGAAGCTTAGTGGGAGCTGGGCCAGGGGGCTTCTGGAGGAAGGGGAGGCACAGGCAGGAGGATGCAGGGGTGGGGGGCTGGGGGTCTCTAAAGGCGGACAGCTGTAGGCCAAGACGGTACCTTGAGCGTGGACGGCAGGGGTCCAGGCACCCAGGAAGCAGGCCGCCAAGCAGGTGAGGAGCCACAGTCTCATCATTCTGCCTGCTTATTCAGCTTAGGCACCTTGGGGGTAGCAGGAGGTGGAGGGCGATGAGGACCCAAATGGACAGCAGCAGGCAGGGGAGTCACCCCATCTCCAGCAGGGCCCTCTGCAAAGAGGCGGGCGGCACGGGATGCCAGGCAGGCAGCCGCGCTCAGCACTGGGACTCACCTGGGACTCACCTGGTCTCCCGGGCGCAGGTCCTGTCTGCCAGGCCAGCAGGCGTCACCCTTTATACGGCCCCGCCCTGCCACCACCGGTCCCCTCACCCTCCCTCCTGCCTCCCACCACCTCCTCCACCCCACCGGCCCCTCCTCCTCTTTCTGATTCTCTCTCCACCTCCTCCTCCCACAGGGGAGCCTGGAGGGAGTGGGGACAGCTAGGGAAGGACCCCAAGTCATGGAGCCAAACAGGCAGCTCAGACCCCCTCAATTAAGTGCTGGGACAGAGGAGGGCTCCCCTGGTCTGGGGAGAATGACTGACCCTGCTGGGGCCCCTTCCCCTGACCCCTCACGTTCCCCCACCCTAGGGGTGTCCCCCCCGCTACCCCCTGAAAGGCCTTTTCTTCTCCCACTCCCTCTCCTGCTGGACAGCTGGTGGGCAGAGCCGTCCTGGACAGCTCTGGCTGCCTAGAGCCCAGGGAGCGCCTTCGCCCCCCACTCCCAAGCCACCTCTTCCTGGGAGACCCCAACTTTGCCCATTTCTCTCTCCTTCTGCACAGTGGGTCACTTCTGAGAAATGTCCTGGTTTTTGAACAGACAAATCTATAGAAACAGAAAGTAAAATTAGAGGTGCCCGGGCAGGAGGAGAGGAGGATGGGGTGCCTGTGGCAGGTAAGGTTCCCCTGAGGGGAGATTAGCGAGGGCGGCGGTGGGTTACACGCCTCCAGACGAGGCGCACACGCCAGACCAGCCACCGTCAAGGGGCGCAGTGCGGCGTGTGGATTTTCTGAAAACCCCCTGGAGCATGCTCTCCATAGAACTGCCATTACGGCCACCACCGCAAGGGAGGCCCTGGCTTGGGGAGAGATGCGGGAGCCCCGGGCGCCCCAAAGCAAAGCCCGCTAGGAGGCATTTGCTTCTTGTTCCATGGTCAGTGTTTGGGGAAGGCGCTCGGGACAGGGTGTCCACCGTGGACCTGGGCGCTACCTGGGCACAGCAGCCTCCCACCAGCCCCCCCCAACCCCCAGACTTGGGTCCTGCTGGCCGCTCCCAGAGGCTGCACAGGCCCTGAGCTGAAACATATTGCTGAGACCCTCGGGCCAGTGCAGACGAAGAAACCTGGCTAAAGCCTCTGCAGAAGCTTCTAAGATTGGGGGGGAGGGAACGGGGGTGCGCAGAGAACAGCTCATCTTGGCACTGCCCAGGACAAAGCTTCAAGTTGTCCCGGCTATTAAGCGGCCACTTACTCGTCTGCAGGGTCTGCCTTGTCCCTGGTCTCCGGCTCTCTGGGGAGGGGCCAGCTTCCAATGAGCGTGAGCAGCAGTCTGTGAGCCCCGAGGACACGGAAGCGTGAGCCCGGGAAAGGGGCAGGGACCCCGAGCGGTAGGGAGCGCTAGGTGGGAAGGGTGGCCCACCTAGGTGGGGGAGGGCTGCCCGACAGAGCAGGCCGCTTTGCTCCGCTGGTCTGAGAACTCGTGCAGCGCAGGAGTGCTCTGAGCAGGACGAAGGGGCCTTGGCCTCGGTGGTCCTGGCCCCTGTGAGCGGCTGAGCGGGCAGGGATGCCCGGCCGAGGCCGGAGCTGCAGCCTAAGGCAGAGACCTGAAGCTAGCGGCCTCAGCGGGCCCTCTTGCAAAGGCGGGCGGCCGCGTCACAGCAGGTTGGGGACGTGGAGAGGTGGAATCCTTGGGGAAGTAAAGGGGAACGTGGAGATGACTGGGCTCGCCCTCCGCCTTTCACTAGTAAATCGCAGGAGAGCAAAGTCGCTGAGCCCCAGGCATACACGGCGACAGGACGCCCCGAAGGCCCTGAGGGGCTCCGGGTGGCCTGTGTGGGCACAGCTGCCGCCCCGACCCCCCTTACGGGTGTGGTTGGGGACCCCCTCGCAGGCGGCTTGGGGATCCAGCATGTGCTAGACCGGGGGTAGGCGGAGTCAGGCCGGGCAGGGTGCCCAGCGGGCGAGCGGAGGGGCCAGGGTGCAGCAGTGACAGCTGGCTCGCTCGAGAGCTCCAGGGCCCGAGCCGGCGGGACGCAGGCCAGCTGTGCGCCCTCAGAGGAGAGGCTGCGGCCTGTCATCTGAGGTGGCGATATTTGGGACAACTCCCGCCCCGGAGCCACGGCAACCAAGACAACTGAACACGCTCCAGCCCGGGCTCGAGCACCTGGATTGTTCCGAGGCGGCAAGCAGGAGCACAGGGACTCCCCGTGGCCTTGGCTCAGGCTGGGCCCAGAGGGTGAGGCTGGCGGGGAGCTGGTAAGCCTCGTCCCGGGTCCGGAGGGGGCTCCTGGGGGCCCCACACACGCTGGTACCACAGACAGCAGGAATCGTGAATCCTTGCCACCCGGAGCGGCCTCTGTACGGTCCTTTCTGCGCGCTCCCCTTAGCCTCCGGCCACCGAACAGGTGTAAGAGCAGCAGTCTGAACGTGCTCGCCCACTCCAGCCTATAAAATGAAAAGACAGGGCCCTCCCTGGTGGCGCAGCCGGGTAAATTGTTAAATCGCAGTGCTGTGCAGCCATTGCAGCAGGGATTGATCCCTGGCCCGAGGGGTGACCCCCAGGGCGCGGCAGACCTCCCCTGTCTCCCGCTGCCCCCTCAGCAGTGTCCGTCATCAGTCAGCCTGTTCTGCTCCCCGCGCTGTCTCTGGGCAATCCTCTCACCCCCCTGCACCTCTGGCCTGTACCCCAGTTCTTGTGTGCATCAATAAATCAATCTTAAAATGATATAGAGAGAGAATGGCTGAGCAGATTTCAAAATAAAGTTTCCGCCCTTATGCTGTTTATAGGAAACACTTTGCACCAACATAGAAAAGCTCAGCCAGAGTTAAGGATTGGAGGACAATCCTGTTATCACAGAACGATCAAAACAGCTACATTTGTATCAGATAAAGTAGACCTCCAATTTAAAAAAGAAGAGGTACTTAATAAAACATAGAGATGGACACGATGTTATAGTGAAGGGCAAATATCGCAAGAGCAACACTCATAAATAACTCTTCATTGAATTATAGAACACCAAAATATAGAAGACAACTACCCATCCCCAAAATAAAACCCCAAAGTCAGAGAGCTTTGCAAGTAAATTCTAGGAAAACTTTAAAGAAAATTTTCTGGCCACCTTGCTCAACTTGTTTCTAAAAATCGAAGAAGAAGGAAACACGCTAACACATTCCACAAAGCCAGATAGAGTGAGCACAAGAAAATCAAAGGTACTTATTCGCGATGAACATTGATGTAAAAATCTTCGATAAAATACTAAATAATTGCATTTAACAATGTAGCACAGGCTTATAGATCATGATTAAGTGGCATTTACCTCAGAGGTGCAAAGATGCTTTAATATGATTAAATCAACCAATGAAATAGTCCTATCAACAAAAGATAAAAAATCATATATCTGTTCCTTCACTTATTTTATTTTTTTACTTATTTTGCTTAGCATAATCTCCTTCGTCCCATCCATATTGTGGCAAATGCGAAGATTTCATTCTTTTGTGAAGCAGTCTTCCATGTATATGTGGTCACCCTTCATTAGACACTTAGGTGTTTGCTTGACTCCTGTAAATGTTTCAGTGAGCATGAGTGCATATGTCTTTTTTTAAAAAGATTTATTTATTGGTGCATATTGGGGTACAGGCCAGAGACTCAGGGGCTGTGAGAGGCTTCACCAGAGGCAGAGCGGGGAGCAGAACAGGCAGATTGACGAAGTACAATGCTGAGGGGAGCAGCGGGCGGGTCAGGAGGGGTCTGCTGTGCCCTGGGGGTCATTTCTGGGCCCCAGGATCAAACTCTACTGAAGTGGCTGCAGCCAGCCTACAGTGCTGCACTTTAACCCGCTGCGCCACCAGGGAGGGCCCAGTGTTTTTATATTCTTTGAGTAGATACCTAGGAGTGGAATTGCTAGAATTTAAGGAATTGGGAAATCTCCATTCTGTTTGCCTTTGGGGCTGGGTCAGTCTGGTTCCCACGGACAGTGTGAATGAGGATTCACAGCTCCTCCTCGCCAAAGGTGTTGCTCAGGCCTTCTGACATAAGCCGCTCCATTCTTCTCCCAGGTATCTGTTGTGGTTTTCATTTCCCTGCTGGTAAGTGATGGCTGAGGGCTATTCCCGTGCCCACCGGCCTGTCTTCTTTGGGGACGTGTTTCTTCTGCTCTCCTGCCCACTGCTTGCTTGGGTTGCTTCCTTAGGTTGCCCCGTAGGAGTCCTTTATACATGTCAGCTGCTAGGCCTGGTCTGGTGTGTGGTGAAGCAGCTCCTACCCAGCGGCCTGCCTTTTCATTTTAACGATAGTTTCTTCCGCTGGGTAGAAGCCTTTTACTCGGAAGCTGCCTCCTTGCTTACTCTGGCTTGTATTTTCCTCGCGGTTACAGTCCAGCCCCCAGGACATCGCTGAGACCAGTGTGTCGCCTGTTTTCTTAGGTGTATGCTGGGTTCGGGCCTCGCATCCAAGTCCGTAATGCATGTGGAGTGAATTTTGCGTAGAGTGTGAGAAGGTAGTCTAGCTTCATTTTTTGATGGTTCATGGGGGTCTTGATGGAAAACTTGTCACTGATTTGGGGAATCAGGCCCAATGGTGTCTGTTACCTTTCGGTTTGTTCTGCTGTGCGCTCTGCCTCCTTTCAGCCAGCCCCTCCCGCGCAGTGAAGCCCTCTGCTGCGGGCTCTGGCAGTGAGGCAGTGCAGACCAGTCCCAGCAAGCCGGTCAGAAGAAGGGGCCAAGGGGCTGCCTGTTGACCAGGGTGCCCCGGCGACCCCCGCAGTCGGGGAGTGTACCTCTCTCTGCCTTTCTGCCCCCAGAAGCTGCCCAAGCCCTGAGATAAAATGTGCTGTGAGACC